TGTCATTTATTGCTCTTTTAAATACAAAGGTCAGTGAAATATTATAAGGAGAAGCCTTCAAAAAGTTCATGGTAAATAAATATTATGAAAAACCTGTGCATAGGTTTCAAAACTGTTTTGTACCAAAATAAATTTAAGTAACTCTCATACAACTACAACCAGTTCCACAGCTCCACCAAATAATACCGAGCACGGTGAATGTCCTTACTTACATGTGCTGTAATTAGCTAGTATTTATTAACAACACAAGCTATGTGACTGCTATACCAGCTTGATATGAAATTAAAAAGCCAGAGATTTTCTTGCGTATCACAGCCTAGACACCAGCAACCTAAATGAATACTGCAAATCCAAGTGCTAATAAGACACACTGCTTTTCCTTTAAAGGAGTCTCAGCTTTGGTTTGCTGCAGTTTGCTTTAAAGGTGACGAACTTCTGACAGGCTACCATTTCAATGAGTTCACTGAGGTACTCATATTTGCAAAGGAGCTTTTCATGCCTTAGGGGAGAAAATATTTCTCAATTAAGAACGCAGTCACGATCATTGTAACTATGGTGCTAAGTGATTGAAACAGTTCTTTCTGTTTATTACACTGCCGACTGCACCAGGCAGGGCAACATTGCTGGCATTACAGTGAATTTTTTTTGTCCTTTTGGAGGTTTATACCTTCAGCTAACAGGTAAATTTGTCTCATTTCTGGGGCCCAAAAATGAGAATTACAAAAATTAAAACAAAAAAAAAAAAGAGCTACACATTTACATATGTGGGTCAGATCTGGGTCCTTCCTGCCAGCTACCTCCTTAGTGCAACACAGATTTCCAAGCCAATTGCACCAGGTACCACCGCTCAGTCTTCAAGAATGAGTAGTTATCTAGGACACTAACTAGAGAGAGACACTTGTAGAAAACCCAAAGTGGGTGAAATTCAGTACTCCCGTCTTCCTTCACTTGCCTGGCAGGAGATATCTACCCTTGGACTAAGACTGCATTTAGGATTCTGCTTCAGTTCAGCTGGTCCAACACATATGAGAAGTGTGTAAGGCCACAAAACTTTACAAATAAAACAGAAGACCACCTCCACCTCTGTGTGCACAGGGCTTAGGCAAGGAAAAGAACACAATTACAATCCCTAACTTCTCTCTTGGAATGAATCGTGGCTTATCATCTGAGTGTGGTGGAGTCCCCCAAAGCATGCATCAATCTTAGAGTTTTTAAAGCTCCTTCATTCCCCTTCAGCCTGGAGATTTCTCTTCTACCTACCTTTCACGATTTGCAGAGCAGAAAATCTGTGTGCTGGTGGGAATCACAATGACAGGAGGAAAACTCTGCTGCTTCTTTTCAGGCGAGCTACCTCTCCATCTGCCCACCTCCTCTGTCGGGAGCTTTCCTTCACCCTGGGTGTGCAACACCTCTGGCTCCTGTTCTACCCGTGGCTCCTCCACCCTGAGAAACTGAAGTTCACACACCTCCAGCCAGATGTTTTTCTTGCTTCATAATATTTTTAGAGACATAGCTTCTCTGAGAATTATTCCAATTATAACAACCTCCTGCCACTCTAACCATTTTTACAGAATCTGGACCCTTGTCAAGAGTACTGTAGTGTCCAGCTTGGCTGCCCTTCCCCATGCGGGGTGTGGGAATGCCTATATGGATGGGGAAGTGTGCATGGAGCCATTAGCACGAATGAGTGATTTAATGAAAATTGCAAGATATAAAGAAAAATAGACAAAAATTATATACTATTAATGAACAACTGGAAAATGTTAAAATGTTTTTATAAGCTTTAAAAATAAATCACAGTAACATTCATAATAGTGCCACAAATATGGATTCCAAAGCACTACCAAATATATACCATCCTTGAAGTGAAAACCACAAGTCACTGTTGAAAAAAGTCAAAGGTGGGTCTGACATGGAAGCTTAGTGGCTTCATCCTTGTCTTGCATGCCTCAATTTGGAATCCGCCACGATGGCTCAGTTACTAAATCTTTGCTTTGTATGCGCCAGGATCCTGTATGGACACCAGTTCATTCCCAAGCTGCTTTACTTCCCATCCAGCTCCCTGTCTGTGGCCTGGGGAAGCAGTCAAGGATGGCCCAAAGCCTTGGGATCCTGCACCCATCTGGAAGACCTGGAGGAAGCCCTTGACTTCTGGCTTCAGATCAGCTCAGCTGTGGCCATTGTGGCCACTTGAGGAGTGAACTAGTATACAGAAGATCTTTGTCTCTATCTCTCCTTCGCTCTGTAAATCTATCTTTCCATTTGAAATTAAGAAATCTTTTAAAAAATCAAAGAAAGCCTAAATAAATGAGGTTAAAAATGGAATTAAAGAATTGTGTTTCGTTATCCCCAAAGTTTGAAATCTGTGCATGAGATGCAACTTCTAAAAGACCATGGGAATCTATCACTTCCCATAGTTTTAAACTTTAAAACTGTGCATGGATTTCAAAAATCATTTGTACCAACAAAAATTTATTTTTAATTCCATTTCCACAAGCTTTTCAGGATGCTTTTGTATACTGAGTTTGTGAATCAGAAGAGGAAACTCGTTGAGACATTGGTTGTCCCCAGTTGGCTACATAGTTTCAACACACTGCAAGTCAAAATGGGAGCAGAATTTAAAAATTAAATATGAATAAACTGTTTTTAAAATGTGTATGGAAAGCACAAGAACTAAAACAACTGAAACACTTCTGGTGAGAAACAAAGTTGGAGAACTCTTACTATTGCATTTCTAGACAAACCTAGCTTTAAGTGTTAACATTTTTGTTCTGTAAAAGGTACTGTTCAAAATCTGAAAAGACAAATCGTAGGCTGGCAGATAATATTTGTAAAGCAGATGTGTGGCGGAGGACCTATATTTGGTCATATAAAAACTCTCAAACAAGTACCTTACAAATGAGGATAGATGGATTGCAGGATAAGTACACCAAGTGATGTTCATTAAAATACAAATAAGAACTGTGATTAAGCAACACGAGACAGGTATCAGTGCATGTAAAAACAAAACATGAACTGAAAATATCAAATAGTAATAAAGACATGGGGAAATCAGAACACCTATATATGGCTGGAGGGGAGTACAGGATGAAGCCACATGAGCTATCACCTGCTACCTCCAGGAAGTTGGAATCAGGGGCTGGAGCAAGGTATTGGACCCAAGTATTCTAATGTGAGACAGACGTCTTAATGGATGTCTTGATAACTCTATATCTTGATATCACTGTTTTTCACAGTTGAAATAGTTCTACACTGAAAATACACAATACAGTGGATTTTATTATATATATTATATATAAATGTAACATATATATTAAGCTTGGCCTATTTATTCCTATAATATACAGGAAATTCATATATATATTCCTATATATAAGAAATTAAATGGATACATAATATGCTGTATTAAGTAATTAAAATTATTTCTTTCAAAAGTGCTAACTAAGAAAAATATACTTAGTTGAAGTTAGGATGGAAAATTCAGTATGACTTTTGGTTGAATGATTCTGACTGGACTCAGCACTACAGGGAATTCCAAATAAGCCATTCCTATAACTGAGGAATTTACGAATTCTTTGCTCTTCTACCCACTGACAAAAACTCACACTATCATTTTTTTTGAACATTCAGGAATTATATCTCAGGACCAGCCTATTTTGTTTTGATGCAGGAATAGTACAGCAAGTGATTTGTGAACATAAAAATATACATGCTTGAAGATTCAGCAAGCTGAGGGCAGGATTATTTAGACATGATTCAAACATGCATCGCTCTCCCCTATGTTTATGCATGTGCTGTCCTTATCTCTTTTCCTTAAAACTACCATCTTTTGACTTCTCCCATGTTAAATGCATAGAGTGGTAGGAGATCATTGGACTGAAAGTTATAAGTACTGGTGTTTTAAATAAATTGTGTGTGTGTGAGAGAGATAGAGAAATCTTCCATCTGCTGGCATGCTCCCCAGATGGCTGCATCAGACCAGGTTGGAATGGGCTGAATCTAGGTGCTAGGAGCCATGACCTGCCTGCATCCTGGTATCATATGAGGGTGTCAGTAGCCCAAGCACTTGAGCCATTATCCATAGCTTCCCATGCGCATGAGCAGGGAGCAGGATCCCAAGTGGAGAAGCCAGCACTCTATTGAGCACTTTGAGAGGGAACATGGGGACCCCAGGTACTGCACCACAAAGGCTGCTCCTGAGTGCTGGATTTTCAGGGCATTTTAGCCCATAATTAGTTGCATGGTTTTGGTAAGATAACTCATATTTCAAAATCAATTTTTATATCTAGCCCTGGCATCACTCATTTAGTAGGAAACTTTGAATTCCTATAGACATATATCTCATCCCATGGAGAACTGAATTAATTATTTCGGGATAGATTCCACTGAATATTTTATCATTAATGAAATAACAATTGCTACCTCTCTGGTCATGCATTCATGTCTCATTTCTTCAATGAGGCTCCCCAGTCCAGGTTATACATATTTTAAGGGAAGAGCACTATTCATAAATTTATATTTTCCCCTTGTAACACCATCACATAGCAGTTGCTGACATAATTACTTGACTTTATATATTCCAGTTTGTGGACATAATCATATGGCTTTGCAAAAACTACAACCAAATGTGATATGTGTTTTTCAGAGTTCTTTTTGACTGCTGCTATAGTGGTTGCCTGATTATTCAATAAATAGTCTTTTCCTGTTTTATTTTTATGTATCATTTCATATTTACTGAAACAACTTGCTCTCCCTTTTTCTTTCTCTCACTCGTACTCTATCTCTTCCTTCCATCTTCTCCTAATCTGTTTTCTGCAGCTCCCTACTACAGGGTAAGCCCCAGGAAAACATGGATTAATTATGCCCACTGTTGCATGCATAGAATATGACTTAGTTTGGTACACAGTAGATATTCAATAATACACATTGAATTGTTGAATTCATTGATACCTACTGGGGATTTAGCAAGGGAAGAAATAACAACATACCACATGATTTACCTGCAAAGGGTTTCTACAAGGTCCTTTTCAAGAAAATCATGATCATTCTTGACAGCCACAATGTTGATGGGAAACTGTGAGTCTGAAAGAGAGAGAAAGATAAAGGCTCGTGTTGGTAGCAACTTGACATATGCAGAAGTATCTGATCTTAACAGCAGTTGCCACGGTTGGTAAAGTTTGAGACAGCAGTTTTATTTTTATCACACAATAACTACTTTTGAGAGTACAATCTCAAATGTGAGACTAGCCACGAGGCTGATCTTAGGTTGGGTAGAACTTAAGTTTCTGTGTCTTTGTAGCTTATCCTTTTCATCCATGTCCCAGGCATAGGCTGATGCAGACCTCGGTAAGAGATTTCACATCTTTACGTTTTATCTAAAGTGGTTACTTTGTTTGGCAGGGTAATGTTTTTGTTTTTGTCTTCTTGAAAAAGATGTTTCCAAAAATGCCAAAAGTTCAAATATCTTCTTGTGTAGCAATAATGTGAGTCACTTTGGAGTGTCAGCAGAGTACTCAACTGATTCTATTCCCAAAAGAAACATGCAACATCATGACTGACTGTGAACAAACCCTCCTTGCCAGCTATGTGTGTCACTGGTAATACTAAGGACTTGATGTTAATTTTAAATCTTTCATTCATGTGGGTAAAAATCTGGAGACTGCTGTAATAGACGAATGGTCAGAGGTAAAATGTTGAATCTTTATCATTATCATTCTCCTGCCATTCTTTCTTTGGATCATGACGCATTTCATTCTGCCTACACCTTGCCATTTGCAGGTATTAAAATATTAGTGTGAGTTGGATACATAACTTTTCCACTTCTGTTGGAAGAGTGATGTGAGTATTCCTGATGGTGCCAGAAAAAAGACTTTCATTCTGCTAGTGAGGTGGTGGGAGCCATAGCAATAAACAGACACCAAAGCCCAGCTACCCTGACCTTCGGCTCTTACTGCTTAGCTATAGAACTGGGAGAGCTTGCTTGGTTAACTTGCTTGATTCATTCTATATTACGGTGGAAATAAGAACCACTACCTGGGTTTGATGTCTTTATTACCCTTGCAGCTACACTTTGCTTTGTAATCTGTGAGGATGAATGGCATGCTAAGGACCCACAGCCTCTGACCTCCTTGTTATGCTTGGCTGGTGTGGCGGCCCTGGCTGGAGATGCAGCAGAGAATTGAGGGTCAAAGAGTTTTTGCCTGGGTTCTCTGCATGAGAGAACCTGTCCAGCTGTGTGCTTCCTCCGGGGACCTGCTTTAAGGCTCTTCTTTCCTCCAGGTCATGGCAGCCTCTGCCCCAACTTGTCCCTTGGAGCTCAGGATGGTGACAGCTCTGCTGTTTCTCAAGCTCTGATTTCCTTCCCTGTGCACGGTCGCTCATGGGTTCCTGTGTTCTGCACACAACTTTGTAATGAATACTGTTAGAAATACACACCCTACAGGGGCTCTCCAAGTGCCCTTTCCTGACTTTTGGGATCCTAATTCATTCTTCATAAAAGACCATCCAAAAGGCAGTTCAAAACTTTCATTATAACTTTAGATACCATACAATTTATGTCTGAAGCTTAACTGCCAAAGAATCAACGCAAATGGATGTTCAATGCTGGCAATGAAAGCACTTTACTCAAAAGAACAACATTTGAGCTACAGTGTGCTTTATCATTCATATAAAGTAAATGAAACCAAAGATAAATCTCAAAAACAATTAGTCTTATAACTTCTAGAAACAGCACTAATTTACTGTAATTTCAAGAAGAACAGCGAGAAATGAGAAGTTAGTGGTGGGAAGCAGAAAGTGAAATGGGCTTGGGAGGTAACGCTCGTTTCTAAATCCATGTCAGGGTAAATGCTGCAAAGGCCGAGAGAGAAAGCAAGCCACTCAAAGGGCAGAGCAAAGACTGGAAATCAAAGCACACCGCAGGATGCATGCGGCTCATCTGTACTTGTTCTCTTTGCAAAGAGCAAATGGAAGCGTGCACATACATACCCTCATAGAGCTGAGCATACTGTGGGAAACCAGCCGCCCGGAGCCAGTCACATGCCTCCTTTGCCTCAATTTCTGGAAGACACAAGACAGGGAAAATCGTGAGTCTCACAGCTACACACTTGCACTCAGCCTTTTTCAACAAGGAGACATGGGTGAGCTTTGTGTGAGTTATAGGGCAAAATTGCTCCCAGGTAAGTCTGGATAAGTAGGCCTACCCAGAAATGAGCGTGAAGGGAGTAGGCAATACAAAGGCCCTTGTTCAGAGTCGGTTGAGATAATCTCCAGGGTGGATTCACAATGACACGGATAATCACAAAACCACAGATGCCAGAACACAAAGGCTGAATTTCAGGAAGGAAAAAAAAGTCTCATTTTCACTATTTATATACCAGGGAATAAGGGGACCAGGGAGAAGGAGGAAATATTTCTTGATAATCCTTAAAAATCTTTTTTAGCTCTAAAGATAAGGCTTAGAATATTTATTTAACATTCCCTTTTCCTTTCACTCTTGGAGTAATGAACAAAGGACTACAATGGGGGAGTCTGTAAAAGTGAAGAAAGGTATTTAAAAAATTCAGGGTGTCGTTATTTCTTTGATTTCATGAATGACCTTCATTTCCAATGCATTATTATAAGATGTTCATTAATCAAGCACATATGGAATGGGTTTTTTTTTTTTTTCTGGAATGGTTTTTAAGCTACGAAGTGCAATGTAAAACACCAAATCTTATTATCTGGAATTAAGGTCTAGGTTTGGTGGAACTGCCATGACCCCAAGAGTTGAGCCTAAGAGGTTAATATGACTTTTGAGTGACCAATTTGAGGTGGGGATACCAGCATCTCACCCAACCACTCACAAAGAGAAGCCACAGAGTGAGATGGGAGAAGTCTACATTTTGTGAACCAGGTCACTGTATGACCTTGTGAATCCTGGATCACTTCCCAACCACAACTCTGTTAGATAAATATGAATCCAAGGGAAAAGAAGTTCATCTGTCAAAAGTCCAGTTTCTCCAAACAAAGTTAAACAGTCTATTCCCTGAGCTGTTCGGAAGGGTCCTTCTCAGGTCACTGCATTTACTCTGGAGTTCATTTTCCTCCTCTTTCAAATCCAGAGAGTAACAGGTATGTATAGGACCACTGAACAAAAAAACATCTATCTGGGGCCATTGTTATCAGGTTGGTGTTCTACAATGGGTGTTTCTGTCCTGGCTATTCTACTCTACTTCTGCTTCAAACCAAGCTCCCTGCTGATGTACATGGGAAGGCAGCAGAAGATGGTTCACGTACTTTAGCCCTTGCACCCACGTGGGAGATCCATTTGGAGTTCTAGGATTTCTTCTGGCTCAGAAAAGAATTTGGGGGCTTTTTGGTGAATCATCTAACAGATGGAAAATCTCTCTTGCTCTTTCCCTCATTATCTTTCCATCTTTATAACCTCTGCCTTTCAAATAAATGTAAAATAAATAAGTATATGAATCAATTTTTTAATGGTCAACACTAATATTAGCCATAGATTTGAGAATGTGCCTTCACAGCGAGAGCTCATAGTCAATGCAGAAATTTTCCTAGTGTATGCTAGCAAAAGAGACAAAGGTTAGATCTTACTCAAGCCCGACAGGAATAACAAAAATGACAACCCTGTCCCAGTGAGATGGTTGGTTGTAGACTGAAATGTGTCACTAACTTCAAGGAAGCAACTTCTGGGAGGTGGCTCCTCTTCCAGAGCCCCTTCTCTTTTTGAATCTTCTCACTTGCTTAGACTCCAGAAAGCAACAATTTCGAGTTCTTTACTTTTGTGTCTGACGTGAAGGTTTTCCAGTTAATTTCAACCAGCAAGGAACTAATGTGTGCCCATGCTTGCTATGGACATGTGACTCAACAATCCCTGGGGTACACAGTTGGAAATAAATCTTTGGAAGGCATTTCCAACAGGAGGAGAGTCTCTGAGATCCACAGGTGCCATTCAAAATGGAACATCAGATGAATTATGTTGCACTGGCTAATTTGGGCTTCCCTTCAGAAGGACAAAGAGCCATAACTGCATTGCTGCGAGTTCTATTAGTCAGCATGAGAGAGTCCTTCTGTGACGGCTTCTGCTTTAATAGCCAAGCACGTACTGCGTCGGAAGTAAGAATGGCATCTTCAATCTATTTGTAGCACACAGAAAATGTGGTGAGCTGCCAGAGGCCTAGATAGTGTCACCTTGTACATTTTCAAAATTCTGATTGCCTTTCTACTTCAGTGTAACATAGATAGTGGTGATGGTAGGCATGAGCCCACAGGCCTGAAGGAGCAGCACAGAGTTCTGTATTTTTTATTCAAATGACATCGTTGCCATGTCTTGTCTATTTATTTTTATTTGATCAAAATGTAATGGTAAGCAAGAGTCCTAGAAGGCCAGCAGATCTGCAAGATAGGCAGTTGTGCTCCATGGAAAGCACAAACAAGGACAATGACCAAAAACAGGAGAATTCGAAACGGATGATTTCTGCCAGTGCCATCATTACACAAAGATCTACCTGATGAGAATTCAATATCATTTGATGAGAAAAGTGTGAAAAGCTCTTTTTCATTGTGCTCTTGCCATCCAGTATCCTACTCTGAAAAGCATTAAGAGCCGTGGAAAACACATTTTGACAGTGGCATTTGTTCTCCATTTTCAACAATTCCTTGCCCCTGTATCAGCTCCAGAGCTACAAGTAAGAGCATCAGCTCACAGCAACTTTCTTGTTGAAAACCTGAGTGTGGGTGCAGCCACAGAATGCCCACAGACAGAAGGGCGCAAGATCCCCACACTGTGCTACAGTAGTCTTTCCCATGCCTGCATCAGCAGCAGATATGCTCCAAAACCTTATGGATGGTATCAAACTTAGAGCATGCTTTGGAGGTGTGATGACAATGATAGCTAAGCGCTCACAAGCAGGTAGCATATGCAGCAAGGATACACTGGACAACTGCGTTCACATCGAAAGAAAGATGGATGGTGTATGATTAATTCCTTTATTCTACTTAGCATGCTGCACAATTTAAACTTTGTGAACTAGTTGCTTCTAGAATTTTCTATTGATAATAGCATTTGCATTTTCATAATTAGTCTGTGGAGCAGTTATTTTGTTTTACTGCATAGCAGATATATACTTTTGCCCACCCAATATTCTTTTATAAAGCTTTATTTTATTTTTATTGGGGAAAAAAGGTAGATTTATGGAGAGAAGGAGAGACAGAGAGAAAGATCTTCCATCTGCTGGTTCACTCTCCAAGTGGTTCCAATGGCCAGAGCTGAGCTGACCCGAATCCAGGATCCAGGAGTTTCCTCCGGGTTTCCCATGTGCATGCACGATCCCAAGGCTTTGGACTAACCTTGACTGCTTTCCCGGGCCACAAGCAGGGAGCTGGATGGGAAGTAGAGCAGCCAGGACACAAATCAATGCCTACACGGGATTCCGGCACATGCAAGGTGAGGATTAGCCACTGAGCAATAGCACTGGGCCCACTGCCCAGCATTCTTGCTTGCTTCTTTTGCTAACAGGACCTTTCTACTTGAGGAACATTTTCTGCATGATGGGGCAAGGCTTGTCTCCAACCATATTTGCTGGCTAGATCACCAAAGCTCATATCACCTCCTCCTTCTTAGTTTGAGGGTACTAAGAAGTTTAGACTTAAACTCAAAACTGTCACTTGGGAATGGAAACTAACCGGTTAAAAAAAGAGATATCTTGTTTTCCATGGGTGTTACACTTTGTATAAAATTCAAGCAAACATTTCTGTTTGTTTACAAAATGTTCAGTAGGTAGCTTGATTCTAGGCATGTTCTTCGGCCACACAGCTGAAATTCCTCTTGATGGAAAGTCACTAAATTAATCTCAACCATTTTTACTATAGGCTTAGTATGTGTAATTTCTATTCACAAACAGATCTGGTAGAGGGAGACAGCCTCGCTGGTGCCAGGGATCGTGCACATTACCATGAGTGTGAGAATAAAAGTCCTGCATGAACAAAGCTTGGGACATGAAGTGTTTTCTATAAAATATTATCATGTTTCTGAATTACACATGCCTAGTAGTGGGAAGCTGAAGAAAAGTCAGAAAGTTTTAATGAAAGAAAAAAGTCAACTACTATTCCATTACTGAGACAAAATTTGATGTTTGTTATTTGTAAAAAGGGTAATATGATGATGCCTTGGGTTGGTAGATAGGGCTTTTCATGTAGTAATACATTGCGGATATTTTCCCATGCAGTCATATTACTGAGAAAAATGAGCTATCTTTAGGGGCAGGCGTTTGGCATAGGGGTTCCATACTGCACTGTCTGGTTTGATTCTCTGATCTAAATGCTAACCTCAGCATCCTGATAAGGCAGACCCTGGGACATGGCAGGTGATAGCTCCACCAGTTAGGTCTCAACCACCTATGAGGGAGGTATGGATTGAGTTTCTTGCCTTGCCCATCTCCAGCAATTAAGAGCAAGCATTCGAGGAGGAATCCAGTGCATAGAAGCACACTCGCTCCGTTTCTTGCTCAACTAAAAATGTATCACTTAAGAAAAAAAAAAAAAAGCTATCAGCTTTACTTTTTGTCTTCACATTATTCAGCAATGATGGTTATTTTCTAGATACTTTACAATTTGAAGAATTGCAAACTATATTTTACTGTTGGGAGGATATAATAACATCAAGGTGACCAAGAGAAAAGAGTTCAGAAGAAATTGCCCAAATGCAGGCAGCTTGCGGCAGGAGACGGGAAGTCTTCGTGAATGAGCAGTGATTTATACATGAATTCTTCAAAGAAATCATGTTCGGTGCAACAAATAGGTAAACATGGCTGGGAGGTAATCAGGCAGGAACTGACACTAGGCACAAGAATTTCTGAGCCCGGATGCAGACCTAGTGTCAAGCCACAAAACTACACCAGAGCGTTCAGTATGCTTGAACAGGGAGTGTTCGCCCAGCTCATCATTTTAAGTACCTTTTGGTGTAGATTATTTTCTGAAGAACACAGCCTTTTCTCATAGCTAACCCAAAAGTATCAGGTATCTTTTAAATGATCAAAAATTCAAATGAGAGCAAATCT